AACACTTGGGTGTCTTTCATCCTCTCTCCAGGTACATAGGGTTTCCGGAGGCAAGCTATTACGGAAGTGGATGCCACTCCTGCTTCCAAGATAAATACCTACTTCTAATTTATCATTTGTCGCATTATTTGGTATTTTGCGCTTTTGACAATAGTAAAAAAAATTCTGATTGTGTTATACATAAACAAGTACATTTGTCAATATCAAATATTGAGGTGTGAGAGGAAAACTATGCTGTCTGTGATGGTTAAGGTTGTATGTCAAGTTGAGAGGCTGTGATTCTCAGTGGTTTGATAATTATGTAATGGTGTTATATGGCACATAATGACCTTATCTTTGAGACCTAATCATGTTGATAAGTGAATAGCGGTGTGTATGTCTTCTTGTACCTGTTTAAGCTTTAAATGGAAAGCCAGTGTAAAGTGTATATTTGCAAGGATGTGTTTCTTCTTTTTTTCAGCTTTACTACTCAAAATAGCTGTAGTATTAGACTTGTAGTTGCAATTTAAGGTAGAGCTATTGCCATAGATTCCACTTAAGCTACTTAATATTTTGGTTAATACTTAAGTTGAATATTGATTGAATACCATAAAGAATATGCTTAATATTTTTAGGTGTGTTGAGTTAGATTTTAGAGAATTGTAACTTGAATTCTGCTACTAAATTGTTTGGTTGATATGAGATGGTATAAGTAATTTCATTTTCTGAGAGTTAAAATAATCTTTTGATAATAAAAATTATTTGAAAATTGAAGTATGCCAAATCTCTAGTCAGTGGATGGAGGAATAATCTCAGAAGGCAAGCCTAGATGTAATTGGAGTTTGGTATGTGGAAAACATGAATTTTATAGTGTTGTCTTTTGTATAAAGTCTATGAACAGAAAGGAGCACTAAGCCTAAAGTATAGCAAAAGGGAAACCCAACGTGTGAGAAAATGAGTAAATAGCTAGCCTATGGGGAGAAATGTTTATAATTTGTCTGTTTCCTGAATCTAGTGTGTCCTTATTGTTACGTGATCTGAGAACCAGATGCGTACACCAAAGTGAACGCTGTCTAGTGAGGTTTCATTGTAGCTTGTCTACTAGCCTGGTATTGCATTGCCTTTTGCATTGCCCTGAGCCCTAACATGTAGAAACTGCAACAACATAGGACATTTAGCTTGTGTGACTTTAACTGTCAAATAAGGATGCTGACCCAGTTCTATTCAGAATCCCTCCTAGTTTTATATCTTCATGATTAAATAACTTACATGCTCAGCAGCACCACTGCAAACTTAGAGGTTAGAATTTAAGTGTTGAAATTATTGATGTTTCGTTTGATAGAACCAATATGGCTTAAAGCTGCACATTTTAACTAGCCTTGTTTTGTTTGGCTTCAAAGTGAAGGACAATAACTTAGATGTTCTAGTTAGATTATAAGCTGCTTAGGATAGAAGACAGTGTCTCCTGCAGGACTTCAAAATATAGCACAGGACTTGTCAGAGAAAAAGCAATAAGTTACCTTCTGAATTAATAAATTAAGATAATGTGTAACTAACTATGATATGGTTACTAATGATTTAAAAAATATTATTATAATGCAGCATAGTATTCCATTGTGCAAATATACCACAGCTTCTCTAGCCATTCGTTTGTTGATGGGCACTTAGGTTGTTTCCAACTCCTTGCTATTGTGAA